AAACCCTAATGAATTGTTTGAAACAGCTGGAATGATGAATTCCATGATGATGAGCATGAATCGTCCTAACGATGGTCAGAAAATTGTGGGCAGAACAAGTAGTAGTTGTGGTGGTGCAGAAAGCTCGTTTCTGAATTTTGCTTTTTCGCAACATGCAGAGGCAAGTGGAGCAAATTCTGAGGACTGTGATTTTCCAGGGAATTGGGGAGCAATCAACAACACCAAGAATATTATTACAGGTAACGTGCTGCAAGTAGTGCAAAACCCTACCTCATACCCAAAACAACAGAACCCTAGCTCAATTTTCGGGACCGGTACTCAAGAGCAAAACCCTAATTCAATTTTCCTCAACACCTTAGCCAAGGCTCAAGACCAAAACTCCACTACCTCTTCAAATTTTGAGATCAATTCAAATATTAGTACTTTGCAGCCCCTGTTTACTGGAAATTAACGAATCTTCTTCCACCTTCTCCTCCTCCTGCTGCTGCTATATATAGCTAATTATCAAGCTCAGTATCCGAATATATTCACTGGTAATTTGTGTTGTAGTGGATTGCTATCTTCGACAGTGCGAGAAAAATGTTTTCAGGCATCTCTCTAAACTTTATTCGAATGTATTGTTAGAAAATGTAATTTGAAGATGTCGTAATTTCTTGAATTTATAAAAACATTTGTGCAATACAGTGTCAGGTACTATAATAATTTGATTGGAGATTTTATGTTATGCTAGCATCGTTGTGATTTTATATTTTCTGATCATCGTCGTTACTTTCCGTAATATAACTGAAATAGTTATGCTAGCATATATAGTACATCTTCGATCATTGATCATTTAGGAAAATAGTGTTGCAGTAATTCAGTTTTTCCCTAAAATTGCAAGGGAAGACAATCACATAGACATATAAAATAAAACTGGAAAATAAGAGTAAACTTTACTATATGCATGCCACATTTCAAATATTCTTTTGCTTTGGATATGTATTTCTCTATGTAGCAAACCTGCAGCTAATAACAATCATTAGGATGATCATAGGCATCATATTCCTTTCCCAGCTCATTGATCTCCTATTAAGTATATAACCTAACCCACGCACAGAGACAGCATCTAAAAACCATAATCTTATCGGAGAGAATTTATAAACATAGTAGATGGTGCTCTCCGCTTGGACGGAGCCATGCCATGATGACGGTTTTTCTCACATACACGGTATAAGAGCCTACTGTCTGTAATTCCAGGTAATAATGAAAACATCTTGATTAGTTTCTTTTTCTTTTTTCCTAGTAGCTAAGTTCCATTCATATAGTTTATCTCTCTATTTTATCAAGTTTAAGGTCCATAGAAGCTTTTATTGTGTTTCTGAGAATGCTTTTAGGCCAACTAATATAACATGTCAGCCTGACTTTGGTTGCATATGTTTAATTTTACAGTGCTGCAAATTCCAAGGAATTCAGTATATATATTGTCTGTTTATGCTAACTTCCTTGTTTTGTTTGTGGCTAGTCTAGGTTGAAAAGCATATTACATATGTGTTTGTGTATGTTCTATGAATTACCATAAATTACGTGCCTAGCTACTCATATATTTCTTTTGTCTGTGTTTCAAGCTTTCAAAAGGTATAAATTTCATTCATTCATTTTCATGACCTAGGTATTCTAGGAATACTTAAACTGTTATACAAATTGTGGTATGCTATATCTCCTACAAATTAAATTTTTAGTAGATACTGATTTAGGTGAAAGAAAGTATCTCACCATCACACATTGAAGAAGTCTGCATATTACTATGTGTGGCCCTTGATGATGAGCACAATTACATTTTTTAGTATCATTTCTTCTTGGAACTTTTATATTTTTACGCTTGAACTTATCTAGTGCAGTTAAATGATAATTTGGATCCTTCATATTTCACTGAATGATCACCATATGCACATGATGTCTGTGTGTTTTTGTATCTCTGGAAAGCTTACTTTCAGAGTCCTAAATATAATTGTTGTTTCCTATAGTCTAGCCAGTACAAGCACGCACACAGAGAGTGTCCGTAAAAAAATCAGTTGAAATCCACAGAGAGAATTGATGCTAAATTCTCTTGAGATGATCCACTAATCTGTGGAATTTCATGTATGCCTGTGTTTTCCACTTTGGATGTTAAATTCTCTTTTTTCTGGTGATCCTGAATTTTATAATATTCTTAACTTTCAGTTCATCATGTACCCCAAACTAATGAATGTCAAGGGAGGGGTTAGAATATTCTATTTTCAATTTTCTCTCACCTCCTTTTTCTAGCTAATCACCATTTTGGATCTTGATCTTTCTTGTCATAATTTAGCTTTCAGATTCCTGACCTACCATGAATTAAACTTGCATCTTTTCCAAAGCTAATCTTATTGAAACCCTCTGAGATCCTTTATGTTACTTATCACCTTTCTTTGTTTTATAGGAAGTGATTTTTACACACTATTTTTTTCTTCATACACATCTATGTTTATTTTTGGTCTTCAAATTAAAGGAACCAAAGGAGAATTAATCAAAGCGATAACAAGAAGTAATGCTGTACAAAAAGGAGAACAATGTTTACGGAAATCACATCCCTACAATGAATTTGTATTGTGCAACTTTGTGACAATATTGAGTGCTTACGGGTCATTAGTTCTACTGCCTAGACTCGCCCCTAGCTATATACTACCTACTATGGTCTATGGGTCAGGACATAAGAATTTTACCCCCTAAGCCAACATGTTACTTGGCTCTAGTTTTGACTGCTTTTTCGTTCAATCCACTTAAAAACCCAGCTGCCTTAACTGCTACTACTTCTTTCATTCAGAGCTACTACTGCATCTGCAGCATTAATCGATGACAAATCGAAGACAATAAAGCTCACAAAAGTAATGGAGGTAACTGTTACTCTAGTCTCTCTTCAGCAACCTAAACGGTATACAGTATATTTTTCCTCTATTTTTTTTTAATTAAGAAGAAATAAAAAAACTTACATCACTAGTTACAATGGTGTTGGTATTGCAGAATCACTGACATTTTCACTGCTGAAACTCATTCACAAAAAGTTAGAATGAAGATAAATAAGTTGTTTTAAAGTCTTGACGGAATTTAATCATCTGTTAACAGTTAACACGTCTTTACTTGTATTCTTCAAAGAAAAAAACATAATTATGTTCTCGTATATATAATTATATATCATCAGGATTACATGATATATATGAGATCAGCAACCCAAAAACTTGTGCGTTTTTTTACAAATCAGAACTCTGATTAATTCTCATTCTGATTGGAAAATTGGCCAAAATGATCATTTTTCAAATCTCAATTGATGAAATAATGAGCTTTTAGTATGTCATGGATACCTGATCTTTGTATCGCCAAATTTTTTCATCACTCTCGTGGATATTTAGTTTTGATTAGTTCAACAACTGGGATTTGAAGCAAATTCCCATTCTTAATTTCTCACATGCATTTCTCTTGCTAAATCTATTTCCAAGAAGACAAATAGAATCATAGGATTAAATATCTGTTCTGTTGTATAACAATACAACCAGTATAGAGTTGTAACAAAAACAGACAAATATATAAATCCAATAATCAAATTTTAAGAGTACGTAGCATATAGAATGAACTAAAACATTAACATCCAAGAAAGACATATACTGACCTATCTACAAAACTTGCAGCGCTCTCTTTGCCCCATCAAAATCAGGCAGTTTCTCCATCTCCCAACTAATCAAGCAAACGCCATGAGCCTAAAACAAAAAATGACCACAGTGAAAGAGACTGTTCTTATATATAATCATCTACCTGCACAGATTCAGCTACACTTAAAACGAAACCCAAATCTGTCTCTTACATACAAAGTCTGCGTATATATGTATAGAGAGCGAGAGAAAAGAACCCCAATAGACGGCTTTGTAGGTGGAGGAGCCTGTCTTTTAGCGTACGTACGTTATGATTTTTCGGCCATCGATCTCTTTTTCTGCAAATTATATAGGGCATGCCCTTATCCAAAGGATTTTTATTTTAAAAACGAGGATTAGTTGTGAGGTCACTCTATATTGAACTTCAATGATCCAAATTGTTATTTTTTTAAGTTGCACTTCATATATAATTCTGCAAAATATCAATCACAACAAAAATGTTCGAGGCTCTATTAAGTTCAAAAAATTTAACGAACATTATGTTCTAAGATAAAGGGTGTGTGATATATGGTTCGTTTATATCTAGGACTGGATTTGGTTTTTGTCAAAACTCAGCAGTTTGCGTGATCTTATTGCAGTGTTTGGTAGACTTTAGGCCCGTGCAGGCTGTACGGACCCAAAAGAAAGGGCAAAAGATCTTGGCTTACCAACCGCACACAATGACAATTTTATACACAATTAATTATACTGTATTTTTTTGTATTTGTCTTTCTTTTTCCTTTCTGCATATATATAGTTGCGTGTGTGTATATATATATATCTAGAGAAGAGCACTGAGGTTGAGTTGTTGTGAACAGTGAAGAGCTGGCTATATAATTGCTCTGCCAGAGTTGTAGTGCACCAAACCATGGTTGTGTTTCTCTTTTACTACAACTTACAGAAGCAGAAAATGCTTTTAATTTCTTGTGCACATTTCTTAATGCAAGCAAATTAAAGTTACCTTAGATCGCGATGATTAAAGTCAATTTTGCCTTTTTACAAACGATTCCTGTACAGGAACTGCAGCTTATGCCAACTGAACAATCAACAACAATGCATGCATGCACGAACACCTCGATCGATGATCGCTGGATTAATTTTCAGAGCATCTTTTTGGTTAAGCTCTGACTTTTTGAGCACCTCATCGAAGATTGCCAAGGCAACGTTCCGTTTGCAAGTGATTATGGGAGCGTGGGAATCACTTTTCTAAAGAAAAACACACGAGAGGTGCTTTTTCATTAATCACCTAAGTAAGTTACCAATAACTTTGCGGAGAAGCATCACTCCTCACGTGAGAAACGAATTATCAATCACACCGCCTTAAAATGGGAATTTATGCATCATTAGGCATTTCATTACCTGAAATATGATTATTTACAACACCAGAAACACACACATAGCGTACTGAAACTGAATCAGATCTCGTGCACAGAGGAGAATAACGAAGGACGGGAACATGGTAACAAGAAAAACTAAAAAGAATCTGAGAAGAGGACATTCACATTTTACACTCAGTTGCCTATATCGACCGGGAAAAACCAAAAGTAGGGATTACATATGGTGTTCGATGACTAGAAGCGTCTCACTGTGACTGACATTCCATTTTGCCTGCCTGAAGAAACCGCATTCTGAGACCATGATGATGGCTTGAATCCCCCTGTAAGTAAGTTGGATGCAGCAGCAGCACTTATCCTTCTTCTCTTGGATTGTAGTTCCAAACTCTTCTTAGAAGTCCCAGATACGCCAGGAAAAATTGAAGCCGCATTGATTAGTGCTCGCTTATCCTTCCTATTTTTTTCAAACTTGGAAACGAACTTCACACGCGACGCAGCACCAGCATCCTCCTCTGCCACTGGAAGCAGTCGTAAACCGAGACCCATCTTCCTGGAAGCAGCCTCTTCTTCGGCAACTCTTTTCTTTTGAGACTGAAATAAAACAATAGTAAACAGTGAGGGAACCCTTTATGTAATGCCAAATTCAACACTCAAGCTCAGTTCATTCTCAATTGAGAGGCAGAAAATGATGCAAGAAGAGAATAATTTTTTTTTATATATATATATATATATATTACACGCACACTGAGAAGAGAGATTTCTAATCATATTTCATCATATCTAAATAGTTTATAAGGAAATATGGGTAGGGCAGACTAAAAACTTCTAATTATCTCTCCATGTCTACATTTTTCATCACTCTGTTATATAAACTGTAAAGGAGAAGTGAAAAGTAATAATTTTGACTTTTCTAATATCAAACAATGCATCTGTGTGAGAAAAACATTTAAGTGAAGAACTAAAAATGATCAGGTGACATACTCTAAGTTTGGCTCTGAGGGCCTTGTTGAGGGAATAGTCATCTAAATGCCTGTCATCAGAAATTCTCTGTAGGCGAACAAGTAATGGCTCGGCTTCTTTCTTCTTTTGCAAATCCTCTTCTTGGTGTTCAAGACGATAAAATGGATCCGCAAGCTTTCCTCTTTCTGGAGAACAAAAAATTAATTTTGTTATGAGAGCAGAAAAGGAAACATCAAAATAAAGCAACAAGTGGTCCAAATCTCAAGTAGACTAATTCAACCTTTTGATCACACAACTGAAATTAACAAAGAGGGATGAAAGGACTCCATTCACACCCTTCATTTTACTTCCTTTTTTGGTTGAGTTCAAGTTACTTAATTGGAGTACAACAAGCTTAATCTATTTCAATGAGGCATTATAAAAGTCACAAAAGAAACACCATTTGCAGCGACTTCTAAACCAACCTTCATCAGCAGGAAGTTCAAAGGTTTCCGCATCCTCAACGTCAAATTCCTCATTCTTTTGCGTGGCCCCACTAATAATCACATACTGGCAATTCTTCGGATCTGTCTGAATAACAATCTCTTGTTTGCAGCATGGAGACTTCATGGTAAAGCTCCATATCTGGCATGAAATAAAACCTTGATTTTTAATAAATGCATTATAACTAAAACCGGTAAGAAAGAATGACAAAGAAGAAAGGCAGGCATGCTAAAAAAATGAAGACACGGATTTCTATTGATCAAGGGGTAGCAAAACTAATAGTAGCCAATTTAATTCTGAATATAAAAGTACCGGTTGGAAAGTATACCTTTGTAGAGTAGTAATTTCCAACTTGCTTTTTTTCTGCATTAAAACGAACACCCTTCGCAATCATAGAATTGCAACCACCGCACCATATATGGTAAGGCATCTCGAACCTGAATGCATAACAATCAATATATCAGAATGACGCACATATGATTGCCAGGATTTCATTAAATTTCCCATTTTCCACCCAAACTATATCATTCAGCCTAGTTTGCAAGAAAAAGCACATAACTGCAAATGCTTAAAGTGGAGTACAGTAAAAACCACAGTTTTCATATACATGTGTGTGTCCATACATATTACAAACAGTGAAACAGTAAGCACTATCCAAGAAAAAAACTTCCAAATAGATTAATGCCTACAAACTATAATATACCAACAGAAGTAAAACGAAGTAAAGTGAGCAGTAAAACAAAGTAACTAAGTTTCCATGTTCCATTTAGGGCTTATCAGAGCCATAAATAGAAAATGACATAAGTGAAACTATCATCGCACAAATCAAATCACTTACAAAACTACAACAAAAAGGAAAGAGTAATTCAGTTGGTTAATAAGGCTTTAATCTCACAATAGATATCGCACATGATCTTCTCACTGGGGAACAGTTTAGTAAGATAATAACAAAGAAGCAAAAAAAGCCCATTATTAGCTATTCCACAGTAGTCACTCAACCACATTAAAACTTTCCATTAAAAAAAATGCTTCCTGAGACACATTTAGACCGTCTAACAAACACATCACATATATGAGTTTGACTTGTTACCTTATAATCAGAATCCCCTGGTCCAATTTCCTTGCTCTCTCCCTCAGAGCATGTTGACCGTTGAACTTGTTCAAGGAGCCCTGAAGCAAAAATCAACATTAGAACTCCATAAACCAACCACCCCACCATGACATATTCTAACAGGAGTACAACAGAAGCATACCTTCTTTGGCGACCATTCTGGGGGATAATAAAAGTTGTCTGCCCTAGCAGCTGCAAGTGTAGACTGCAGAGAACCAGGTAAAACATTTAGCAGATAGAACAAATCTACAAGCAGAAAGAAAAAAAATCCTAAATATTACTACGAAAATACAATTGTCAAAATACAAAAGATTCATCTCATGCCCAAGTATTTGTAACCATTGTTTCATAACGATCAATTACATTAGAAAAAATAACATTCCAAATTTTCTTTGGTGAAGAACTATATGTTTGATTTATCTCCTCTACATTTAAATATCGAAATAGCATCAGCACAAAATCCTTTTGAGCTCATTGGGTCACCTAAAATCTTAGACGAGCAACATTATCGATCAATTTTTAAACTTTCAATAATCACAATCGAAAGCAGAATCAAATCTGTGCACAATTAAAAATTAAAATCCAAACACTCCAAAAATTGGATATATTGAACGTGAAAATTCAAACTTTATAGCCCTCATCTTACATAGAAAACTTCGTTTGACAATAAATTAACAAAATTCAGATCTATTAACTCGAATATGAAACGCGTCTAATCCGATATCAAAACCCTAATATTGCAATAGCTTCAAGAACGAATAGGAAACCCTAATTTAATTGAAATTGATGAAAAGAGATGAATTTGCATACCATTTTCTCCTTCTGGAATTGCTACTTGTTCACCGGAGTTTTTCCGATCAATCAACCAGTCCGCTCGATTCAATCGTTCTGTTGAAGTTTTGGTTCACGAAATTTTTTTATGCCCTTTTTTCTGAGTCGGTTCTCAATTTTCCCTATTGGACAAAGACGACGTCGTATTACTGTTTCCGGGCCCTGCTTTTTCTTGTCATTCGCAATGCTACAAGAATATAGAAACCCAATATCGTCTCGGCTCATGGCCCATAAAAGATCGTCACACACATCCAATCACTAACTAGATTTTAAATTTAGGCCTTTATTTCTCTTTTAGAGAATGAATGAAAAGCTTAATCCAATTACATATATCTAATCCGGCTTTAGATTTAAATTAACGTAATGAAATTTAGAACAATGGTACGTTACACTGAGTAATCTTCAGCTTGATTTGCTGCTATATGCAATACACACATCACGAAATTCAACAGAGTAAATTAGAAGACGGCACAATCCAAATGGCAGATGGATTATTAATGATTTGAAAAATTAGAGAATAGTTTCTTGTGATGTTCTCGTCCTGTAAATTGAAGATGCCCATGTCACTTGGTTCGTTGTAGTAAAAAAAAACTTGGGTTCGTCCACAATTTCTTTCAAATCATCCATGTAGCAAATGCATTTCGGTCGGCACCCCAGATGGTCTGAAGCCAATGCAGACATGAATGGTTATCACCAACAAAAACAGCCTCACCTCCAACGCTTTTTACCTCAACCTGCTCAACAGTGGCTCCGTCCCCTCATTGAACACCAACTTGTAAACCTGAAAGCTTTCAGTCCGGTACTCCTTGGCCTCCTTTTTCAAAAATCTTCGAACATGCAGTAGGTCTCCTTTAATTGATTCCACAAGATATCCCTTACTCGCGAATCGACTATGGTTATCTGTACGAACCTTTGCTTCTAGCGGCCTGCTTTCAACCCCGTAGACTTGGCTTTTATAAATTATAGCATCACAGCTCTCTTGGTTGTCAATGTATGTCCAACTCTTTTGTCGCTCTTCAAAGAAAGCCAACCTACGACTTCTGTCGTAGATTGCTACACTGCATATTTACTGTCTTGATAATTCATATCAGGAGCACCCTAACCTTTGGAAACCAATCATTGAAATAGATGGGACCAGAAGGATCGGCATTGGGATCATCCAAGGGAGGAAGAAGATGTTGAAGTAGTCAAAGTTAGAGTTCCTTTGTTCCAGGGTTTACACCTGGATGTGCTAATAACCCTCCTATACTTGAGGGACAAGTTGTTTATTTTGATTTCAATCTAGTCAGTTACCACGATTTTAGGACCTGTACAATCGTGGATAGTTATCTCTCTTTCTTGTTTGTTGTAAGGCTATTTAAGAGCCAAGTTATTTGACTTCAATAATACATCCATTCTCCCAGTTTTCTAGTGCAGTTAGGTTTTCACGTTCACAAAACCTTCGACTATCTCAGTTAGTTCCAACATCTGGTATCAGAGCCCCACCACGGGGCCTGACCAAACCTGCAACAAAGTAACTAGCGTGAAGGAACAAAGCCATGACATCTGAAAGCAGTTTTGTGCAACCTGCCATTCCTAGGTTTGATGGGCATTATGATCACTGGAGTATGCTAATGGAAAACTTTTTACGTTCCAAGGAGTATTGGAACTTGGTGGAGACAGGAATCACTGCAGTAGCAGAAGGAGCCGAGTCAAGCGAATCACAGAAAAAGGTAATCGAAGATCAAAAGCTGAAAGACTTGAAGTGCAAGAACTACTTGTTTCAGGCTATTGACCGTTCGATCTTAGAGACAATTTTGAAGAAGGACACCTCGAAGGATATCTGGGATTCTTTGAAACAGAAATACCAAGGAACAGCACGTGTAAAACGTGCCCAATTGCAGGCTCTTCGAAAAGAATTTGAAGTACTGCACATGAAGGCTGGAGAGTCGGTCAACGAGTATTTTGGAAGAACCCTCATCATTGCTAACAAGATGAGGATTCATGGAGAGCACATGCAAGATGTGATGATCATTGAGAAGATCTTGAGATCTATGGTTCCAAAATATGACTACGTCGTATGTTCTATTGAGGAATCCAATGATTTGGATACTTTGTCCATCGATGAGCTTCAAAGTAGTCTCTTGGTGCATGAACAAAGAATTAGCCGTCATGTAGTTGTGGAGGAACAAGCATTGCAAGTCACTTATGGAGCCCAACCAGGAGGAAGAGGTGGAGGACGAAGCAACTACCGTGGAAGAGGAAGAGGAAGGGGCAGATTAGGGTTCGACAAAGCAACCCTAGAATGTTATAACTGTCATGAACTCGGGCATTTTCAGTGGGAGTGCCCAAAGAAAGCAAAGGATCAACAGGCAAATTATGCAGAGACGAAAGAAGAGATGCTATTGATGGCATATGTTGATTACACAAAAGCTGAAACTGAGCACATTTGGTTCCTCGATTCTGGGTGCAGCAACCATATGTGTAGCAAGAGGGACTTATTTATTGATTTCGACAGCAGTTTCAAAGAATCAGTCAAGATGGGAAATGATTCAAGTCTTATTGTGCAAGGCAAAGGAACAGTCCGAGTAGAGGTGAATGAGATAGTTCACGTAATCACCAGTGTTTTCTATATACCAGAACTGAAGAACAATCTGCTAAGTATTGGGCAGCTGCAAGAAAAGGGGCTCACTGTGCTTATCCAACAAGGAAAATGCAAGATTTTTCATCCTGAGAAAGGTCTGATCATTGAAACTAAAATGACTCAGAATAGAATGTTTGTTGTGTTAGCTCACTGCCCACCATCAAGAGAGACAAAGTGCTTCTCTTCTCTGACCACAGATCAGGCAACTCTTTGGCATCGACGATATGGGCACCTCAGCTGGAATGGACTCAAAATACTCCAGCAAAAAAGGATGGTTGAAGGGTTACCACAATTCAAAGCCATTCAACAAGTTTGTGAAGGTTGTCTGGTAGGAAGACAGCATCGTGATCCATTCCCAAAGGAAAGCACTTGGAGGGCTTCTAAAAGACTTCAGTTGGTGCATGCTGACATTTGTGGACCGATTAATCCAATCTCGAACAGCAACAAAAGGTATCTCATCACTTTCATTGATGATTTTAGCAGAAAAACTTGGGTTTATTTCTTGGCAGAGAAGTCAGAAGCTTTTGCTACTTTCAAAAGCTACAAAGCTAGAGTGGAAAAAGCAACTGGGGTCTTCATTCAAAGTCTAAGAACCGATCGAGGTGGTGAGTTCACATCACAAGAATTCACAAACTTCTGCAATGAAAATGGGATATACAGACAATTGATTGCTGCATACACTCCCCAGCAAAACGGTGTCGCAGAGAGGAAAAATCGCACCATTATGAATATGGTACGAAGTATGTTGTCAGAGAAGCACATCCCTAAAACCTTTTGGCCTGAAGCCGTGAATTGGACCGTGCATGTGCTGAACAGAAGTCCTACTCTTGCTGTGAGGAGCAAGACACCTGAAGAGGCATGGAACGAAAGAAGACCCTCAGTGGAGCATTTCAGAGTATTTGGATGTATATCACATGTCCACGTACCAGACAATAAGCGAGTGAAGCTCGATTCAAAAAGTTTCAAGTGCATTTTCCTTGGGGTCAGCGAAGAGTCAAAAGCCTATAGACTGTTCGATCCTATTTCAAAGAAGATAATTATCAGTAGAGATGTGGTCTTTGAAGAAGATCAAGAATGGAGTTGGGATGATAACCATCAGCAGGCCATATTAGCTGACTTAGAATGGGAAGTCGATGAAGAAGCAAGTTCAGAAGAAGAAAGCAATGAAGATGAATCTGAGGTGATTGAAGAACTAGAAGGAAATAGGGGTGACAGCAGCAATATTTTTGAAGGAGATGCCTCAAATGTCGATGTCTCAAACGTCGACAACTCACTTCCAGATGGACGAACACGAAGACCACCTGCATGGATGAGTGACTATGAGACTGGTCAAGGTCTCTCTGACGAAGAAGAGGTGAATATAGCTCATCTAGCGTTACTTATTCATAGTGATCCAATGACATATGAAGAGGCAGTGAAAAGTGAGAAATGGAGGCATGCAATGGATCAAGAAATTGAGGCGATAGAGAGGAACGAGACATGGGAACTAACTGATCTGCCAGCAGGAGGAAGAACGGTTGGAGTTAAATGGATTTTCAAAACGAAACTCAATGAGCATGGGAAGGTAGACAAGTATAAGGCGCGACTAGTTGCTAAGGGGTACAGTCAACAATATGGAGTGGATTATGCAGAAGTCTTTGCACCAGTGGCTCGCCTGGACACAATTTGTATAGTGCTCTCTCTTGCTGCACAGAAAAGTTGGTCAATCTATCAACTTGACGTTAAATCAGCCTTTCTCCATGGAGATATTACAGAAGAAGTGTTTGTTGATCAACCTACAGGTTATGAACAAAAGGGAGAAGAATCCAAAGTCTATCGACTCAAGAAAGCATTGTATGGACTCAAGCAAGCTCCCCGAGCTTGGTATAGTCGCATAGAATCATACTTTGTCAAGGAAGGCTTCAACAAATGCCCCTACGAGCACACTTTGTTCACTAAAACAACAAATGGAGGTAAAATATTGATTGTGTGTTTGTACGTAGATGATCTTATATTTACGGGTAATGATGAAGCTATGATTCTACAATTTAAGAAGTCTATGATGGTCGAATTCGACATGACTGATCTTGGCAAAATGAGGTACTTTCTGGGAATTGAAGTGCTACAGAAGGAAGATGGAATTTTCATAAGTCAACGAAAGTATGCTCAAGAAGTTCTTGAAAGATTCAACATGGGACAGTGCAACTCGGTGCAAAATCCAATGATTCCTGGTTTCAAGCTTACAAAGGATGAAGAAGGAGTAAGGGTCGATGATACTTTTTACAAGCAGATGGTAGGAAGTCTCATGTATCTAACAGCCACTCGGCCTGATTTGATGTTTGTTGTAAGTCTCATCAGTAGGTACATGGAACGTCCCACTGAGTCTCATATGATGGCAGCTAAAAGGATTCTAAGATATGTGAAGGGAACAACTAGTTTTGGAATGTTTTATAGGAAGGGAGGAGATGCAGAACTCTTTGGTTACACGGACAGCGACTATGCCGGGGATCAGGATGACAGAAAGAGTACTTCAGGTTATGTCTTTATGATAAATTCAAGTGCAGTGTCGTGGTCTTCTAAGAAACAGCCAGTGGTTACTCTTTCTACCACAGAAGCTGAGTTTATCGCTGCTGCATCAAGTGCTTGTCAGGTTGTTTGGCTAAGGAGAATTCTGAAAAGTTTAAGTCATGCGCAGAATGATTCTACGGTGGTGTATTGTGACAACATTTCAACTATCAAACTCTCGAAGAATCCAGTAATGCATGGTCGCAGCAAGCACATAGACATTCGTTTTCATTTTCTTCGTGATCTAGTCAATGATGGAGTGGTGGAACTGAAACAGTGCTCTACCCAGGAGCAAATCGCAGATATCATGACTAAACCAATGAAGTTCGAAGCTTTTGCAAGGATTCGAGAAGCAATGGGAGTCTGCGAACACCCTGGATTAAGCTGAATTTCACTGGTATTCAGCTTAAGGGAGGATGTTGAAGTAGTCAAAGTTAGAGTTCCTTTGTTCCAGGGTTTACACCTGGATGTGCTAATAACCCTCCTATACTTGAGGGACAAGTTGTTTATTTTGATTTCAATCTAGTCAGTTACCACGATTTTAGGACCTGTACAATCGTGGATAGTTATCTCTCTTTCTTGTTTGTTGTAAGGCTATTTAAGAGCCAAGTTATTTGACTTCAATAATACATCCATTCTCCCAGTTTTCTAGTGCAGTTAGGTTTTCACGTTCACAAAACCTTCGACTATCTCAGTTAGTTCCAACAGAAGAATGGGAGCCACTGCTTTTCTGAAAGGGTTCATGAGAGTCACTTACAATCGAAGTTTGTCTAGTTCATCTACTGAGACGAGCTAGCCTTGGTTGGAGCTACAACACCTTTTACTCCAAGGCACTGATAACAAAACATTTTTGTACACTTTTCCTTCAAAAACGTTGTACAGCGCTCGCTTTCCATGTGGAACGGAGTATCCCTCTCCTTTGATATATCTTAAACGTGGAGGGATCATCAGCAAGGGAAGTACCTTACGCCAACTTTTTGTTGTATCTTTGTATTATTGAGCAAAAGCATGCCAATCCTTTCAAATAACAGCGAAGCGAATAAGGAAAACCTGCTCCAACAGCTTATCCATAATCAAAACGAGAGCGGGAGAGGTAAGGTTTGCCCAGTTGGCAGATGAGCAGTGACGACGACGTTTGGAGGAAGCACCCACGTTCTCTGTCTCCCATTCGCCAGATGAGCGACCCCGACGGCGTTTCAAGGTAGCTCCCGTGTTCTTCCTCTCCCTACAGTCGGTAGAGGGGAGACGACAACGCTTTGAGACAGCACCCATGTTCTCCCTCTCCCGGTCGGCAGACGAGGGACGAGGACGTTTCAAGGTAGCACTAGCATCCATGTTTTTTTCGATAAAACGAACTTCCGGACCTAATTAAATAGTGTTTCGGAATCAGAAAATGGGAAGAAATTCGTATAGCAATACTAATTGATGCGAGATAACATGAAATAAAATATAAAACAATAATCTCCCACAAAAGAGGAAATAACCAAGCGCAATAAGTACATAAATGTTGAAATATTAATGTTAATGTATTAATATTGCTTGGTGTATAAGAGAAGACAGGTTAATGCTTTGAAATCCGGTCGGCAGATGAGGGACGACGAAGTTTCAAGGTAGCACTAGCACCCATATTCCTTCGATCAACGAACTTCCTGACCTAATTAAAAAAAACTATCAGAAAGAATAAGAGAAGAGGAAATACATGGGATAAAAGAAATTCCAAAGAGTGCACGCAATTCAGAGATGAATTTCTATGAGAATTTGAAGGAGAGAGAGGGATTGAAGGAGATCGAGCGAGAAGAAAAAGTTTGAGTTTTGGTTTTCAACATTTATTATGCCCTTTTTCAGCACACAATATTTCCTATGGACATAAAACAACGTGCTGCCTTTTATTTTATTTTTTTCACGATCTTAGGAGAATATGGAAACCCAATGTCGTATGGGTCCAAGACCAATAAAAAAATCGTCACACAAATCCAATAACTTGTACGAGATTTTAAATTAAATCCATATTGTCAAATTCTTAGATGATTCAACAGTTTGTGTCAAGACACCATGCAATTCTTATGATTTTGGTGTAAGAAAGTGAATAACATGAATTTATATTTATCAACATCACACAATTTTCAAGGTTTGATTTAGCATGATTGAAATGTATGAACTTCGTTTTTATAGTGAAGGAGGTAAAGATTATAAACTCGCGCATACTTCCCAATCACTTATTTGTTAGCCTTTTTTTCTTCGAATGATAATGGCAAGGGGATTCAAATATAGAATTAATTACTTAAGTTATAAACTCTTTACCTTGTGATATAAGATATTGGAGCGAACTAAAAGTTAACCATAGTTGCATGCCCTTTGCGTTGAAGATGTTGGACAATTCAAAGCGTTCTTTTATGAATTAGTAACTGTGCTTTAGTCCCTTATGTGCAGTTTCCTTCAAATCTCCAATAGTTGCATCACCTGGAACAAAAACCACTATGTCTCCAATTGGCGACTCCCTTTCCTCTTGGATTTTGTTGGAGTGATGCTCATCCCTCCAATCAATGTTTGGCCATGGAATTTGACATATGAATGTCAATGGCAAAGATTCCCCTTGTGCAGCAATGTCAAATTCTTTCAAAATTTTTTTACAATTCTGTATAATTTGAACACACTCCTTTACTTTCTTTACTTTTCCGTTTAAGTCCGCTCCGGGTAATCCCTCCATCTTCACATAAGAGTCATAGATATGTTTTATATCATTGCATGCACGATTGAATATTTGTCCTTCCCATGGTACCTCTTTCAGCTGCAAATGATAAACATCCCTACCATTGTCGTCCTTTGTGATTGTACAGGCAAAAATGTGATGTTCATCAACCACCCCGTTGTCTAGGTTGGACAACACGACAGTAGCCCCTACTGATGGCCTGTTAGCTTGCTTGTTTGCTCGAGCCACGTCAACCGCTGCTTCCCGTAAAACTTTTCGGGGCATCGGAGGAGCACCATTACCTAGTATCTCCTTGAAATGATTCACCGCTATGCGGATTTTGTCAGCTTTGCATTTGCTATTGTCCTTGAGCTCCTTTATGTCATCAACATTCCTGCTATTCCTCTTCATATTTTCTGCCTCATGAATCATCCCAACAAGATGGGAGAGAAGATCTTTGAGCGTTCAAAAGTCCCAGTATCACAAAAGTAATGCTTGCAACTGGTAGCCAAAGAAGGACTCGGCCATCTTTGAAAGCTCTAGTGACCCAATGTGGTTCAGTGAATCAACGTATGCAAAGCGACTGATCCCGTAGCTTCCACGATAAAACTTGTATCTCCACTTGGCAAACCACGAATGTCCTCAAGCAACTCCGAATAACAATCAAAGATCCATCCCAGCTTTCATAGAATTGTCTTTAACACAGATTGCTCTGCAGGAATGTTCACATTCTAATTACATAAATAATTACATTCCCAAGATGAGTTTTCGCAATAATACCTGGTTCCTAAGAAGAGTACATTCTGTCCCACAAGTCCATAATCTCAGTGCCACTAAAATGAGCAGAGCCCGCATCATGTCCCCTTATGCCCAATAAATGACCGTAACGATCAGAGCCCTTATGCCCAATAAATGACCGTAACGATCAGAGCGAATCAACCCATACATGATGGTTCTGCAGATCAAGCACACAATTCTGTATAGGGTTATTCCAACCCTCTTCCGGCGGAATGATCACATGGTATGATCGGTTGCACAGGAGATGCTTGCTCCAACCTATATATACAACCATAACCAATTAACGAACTGAACCCATGTATAAACAGATCCTAACAATCTACGAGTCCATGATGTGCCAGTGAACAAGACATACATCCAAAAATTTAAACTCAAGATACACAATCATCAACTACTAGAATGCAGGATAGAGAATTGATGAAAAAAGTAGGCAAACAAATCAACATGTATACAATCTTTATCAAAAGATTGATGGATCAAAACAAACTACCATTTCATAATTAAACGTAAGGAAAAATTAATCAAGAAAGATTAAAATTTTCATCGAAATGTTCTACAGGCCATACAATATATTCAGATGTTTCAAGACTCCAAGCGTATTGAACAGCAGCGAATCTTTTATTTATTAAAACAGAGACAAACAATGAATCTTATTTACTCGAGCACCGCAAGTTAGTTTGTGTCACCTGTTATCCGGCAATGGTCACAAGTCGGTCGTTTGGACAGTTTCTTCACATCTTCTTCAGTGATGTAGAGGGGGACCGTAACACATTGTCCCTTCACTGTAAGCTGCCTCCGCCAAACATTCATGCCATGCAGAAACTCACCAAGATTATCGAATTCTTGAACGAATTCCAAAATGTTGTCGCGGAATGCTCCCAAGAATCGATGAGGGCCACTGCAAAAGTTACTAAAAGGGTGTGTGGTTGACATAGGTGTTTCAAGATCTATATCAGAATAGACTATGTGCGTTCTTAGAGTAAGTACTTTCGTTGAGGAAGAAAGAAACTAAACTGAAATTGTTGGTTGTGTTGTGTTTGACGATACAGAAGAAGCCGAGACTGGGTAATTACATTTTGTACGTACGCTCTCTCTATATATATATGCATCAATATCTGAGCAAGTCCTCATTAGCAAAGGCAAAAAGCACACCAAATCAAGTAAGTAAATCTAAACTAGAAAACACTACATACAAACTTCGCCAAAACTTGATTTAATTTACTGTGTTGTTATCATACTCGTAGACTTATAGCATAAGCAATATCTATTTTCTTTTATTTCCCTTTTCCCCTCTTTTTCTATTTTTTTAAGGTTGTCTAACCGAAGGGGCTACATTAAATTTAAAGAACTTTAACGAAAAATTTCTGGTATTGTTCACTTTAACGAAAACCACATTTTTAAACTAAAAAGTCAATTATGTTACTATTCACTTTACCCTTTATTTTGTCCTTATCGTTAAAACTCAAAGTTTTCAAATCATTTTCACTAATTATTTTTAAAATTTATTGTTCTTCAAGAAATTATTTTTAATAAATTGTGTCATGCTCATGTAATATAAAGGGTAAAGTGAATAATACCATAATTGACTTTTTAATGTAACAATATGGTTTTTCGTTAAAGCTCCCTTAAAAAAAAAAAAATGAATAGTAATTTTTTATTAAACTGAATAATATTTAAAATTTTTCGTTAAAATTTCATAAAAAAAGGGTTCAAAGTATCCATCGCATGCCTGGCAATGAGCCTCCCCCTTGAAAGAGTTCAGCCCCACCGGTTAACTAAGAGGAGGTTCGTGCTGCCTCTAATCCCGAAACTGGACCGACTGACCCTTTCATCTATTTGCTGGCCTGTGACTAAGGCATAGGCGGATTCCGTGCTCAGTGCAATTAACCTCTTGAAAGGCTTGAGAGCTCTGATATGGGCTATCAAGTTCAAGACCCTACCCTTTACGGGGTAATTTCTCCTTTTTGTTTTGGTACTTTTAGGGTAGCGCAATTCCTTAAGCCATCGACTTTCTTAGAGCTGTAGCAACTGGGTCAGCTAACATATTTGTTTGTGAGCGATTTACGTACTTTGATTACTAATCTAACGAGTGCATTCCCGGTACAGATGGACACCACTAAATTTTATTTACAGAGTGTTTAAAGCACACTGAAGTCCATAGATTATTTTTGGGTGAAAAATGAGAATTTCACACAAGTTAATTACCACCGGGGTCATTCATAATCAAACCAAATAAGAACCTAGCTTGCTACTTAAACCTGAAAACTAGCAGGTAGGGAACAATGTGACATTTAGATTTAAATTAAGGGAGGTTTATAGAAATTTAGAACAATGCAACGTTAATTAGAGCTGCAACAAATACACAGCTAGACTTTTGCTTAATTTGCAGCAACATGCAATAGGTGTAACACGGGAAACGGGAAGTCAGCAGAATCCGTTAGACGGTGGCACAATCCAAAAGGCAGCTGGATTATTAGTAATGCTCCGAGGACTTGAAGAGTAGTGTCTTGCGATGGTCTCATCCTCTAAATTGAAGATGCCCATGTCACTTGGTCCTTTGTAATTAAAATACGTCGGTTTGCCCGCAACCTCTTCCAAATCATCGGTGTAATATATGCAATTTGGTTGAAGCCCGGGACGGTCTGAAGCCAATACAGACATTGAATAGTTGTCACCCACAAATATGGCCTCACCTCCAATGCTTTTTACCTCAACTTGCTCCACAGCGGATTCGTCCTTCCCCTTGAACACCAACTTGTAAACATGGAAGCCTTCAGTCCAGAACTCTTTGGCCTCCTCTTTCAAAAATCTTCGAACATGCAATAGGTCTCCATTAGTCGATTCCACAAGATATCCCTTAATTGCGAATCGACTATGGTTAGGTGTAAGAACCTTTGCTTTTGGCGGCTTGCTATTAAAGTTGAATGACCAAATCGCTCCGATCGTCCAACTCCGTAGACTTGGCTTTTATAAATTATAGCATCACTGAGATAGTTCTCTTGGTTGTCGATGTAAGTCCACCTCTTTTGTCCCTCTTCAAAGAAAGCCAACCTATGATCACTATCATCACTTATTCTGTCGTAGATTGCTAAAACAGCATATTTACTGTCTCGATTATTCATAACAGGCTCACCGTGTAAGATTACCTTTGGGAACCAACCATAGAAATAGAAGGAACCAGCATTGGGGTTATCCAAGGGAGGGAGAAGAACGGGAGCCACTGCTTTTCTGAAAGGGTTCATGAGAGTCACGGACAATCGAAGTTTGTCTAGTGCATCTACTGAGACGAGCCAGCCTTGGTTGGAGCCACAACACCTTTTACTCCAAGGCACTGATAACAAAACATTTTTATACACCTTTCCATCGGAGACCCTGTACAGTTCTCGCTTATCCCTTTCCTTTGGTATATCTTAAAAGTGGACGGATCATAAGCATGGGAAGTGACATACCACAACGTTTTGTTGTATCCTTATATTCTTGAGCAAAAGCATGCCAATCCTTGCAAACAACAGCAAAGCGGACAAGGTCAACCTGCTCCAACAGCTTATCCGTAATCAAAACGAGAGCGGGAGAGGGAAGGCTTGCCCAGTTGGCAGATGAGCACTGACGACGACGTTTGGAGGAAGCACCCACGTTCTCTGTCTCCCATTCGCCAGATGAGCGACCGCGACGGCGTTTCAAGGTAGCTCACGTGTTCTTTCTCTCCCTACAGTCGGCAGAGAGGAGACGACAACGCTTTGAGGCAGCAGCCATGTTCTCCCTCTCCCGGTCGGCAGATGAGGGACGACGACGTTTCAAGGTAGCACTAGCACCCATGTTTTTTTCGATAAAACGAACTTCTGGACCTAATTAAAAACATTGTTTCGGAATCAGAAAATAGGAAGAAATTCGCATAACAAATCCTAAATGATGCGAGACACTAATCAAACCATCATCCCTACGAAAATAAAACGAAATCCTTCTAACAATATTACAAAATCAGTAGAAAAACCAGAAACTAGAATAAGAGAAAAGGAAAATACCTGGGATAAAAGAGATGAACTTCTATGTGAATTGAAGGAGAGAGAGAGAGACCCGCAGATAGAGAGGGATTGAAGGAGATCGAGAAACAGAGAATGCTTTGAACTTTTTTTATGCCTTTTTTCGGTACACAATTTTTCCTATGGGCATAATACAACGTGCTGCCTTTTATTTTTTTTTTTTTTGTTTCACAATCTTAGGAGAATATGGAAACCCAATGCCGTATGGGCCCAACCAATAAAAAATCGTCACACAAATCCAATAGCTTGTACAGGATTTTAAATTTAAATCCATATTGTCAAATTCCCAAATGATTCAACACTTTGTGTCAAAGACATCATGCAATTTTTATGATTTTGTTGTAAGAAAGTGAATAACATGAATTTATCAACATCACACAATTTTCAAAGTTTGATTTAGCATGATTGAAATCTATCAACTTTGTTTTTATTGTGAAGGAGGTAAAGAGTATAAACTTACGTCAATCACTTATTTATAAACTTGCGCATCACAAACTAGAAATACTTGGATAAAAGAGATTCCAAGAGCGCACACGAATTCAGAAATGAATTCTGAAAGGGTTTGATGGAGAGAGAGAGAGAGAGATTGAAGGAGATCGAGTTACTGTTTCTCAACCGTACTTTTATGTCATTCACAATCCTACAAGAATATGGAAACCCAAATATCCTCCAACTGATTGGATTTAAATTTAAAATTTTCCTAAATAAAGTTTTTTTTTTTTTTTATGTTTGGCTAAATTAGATTAATGGTCTCCGTGATGAGAGGGTAATCGGAAGATAGCCTGGTGAAAAAATTCAGATTTAAACTCTCGTGGTGAACTCCGTTAGGATTTAAGCCCAAAATTAACATTTTCCTCATATGTCTGTTAACCCATTCAACCTTCATAACCAAAAGAGAAAAAAAAAAACTCATTCATCCAAGGCTATGAATTTGTTCAGCACAATGATACAAAATGAGAATGTCCAACTTATAACGATACAAATAGTTCGCCGGAGGATTACAGCCACTAGCTATGGCAACTTAAAAGATTGACTGTTCAAATCCAGTCCATGTACACAAGATTTCAAATCCCTGGGTTAAATATAATGAACAGTGTGGCCGATTAAGTACTTATCACTAAGCAATTTGGAAAGCCCATAAATCCCATATCCAATGTGATCAATGATTTGAATTTCCTCATTGAATTATGTTGAACAATAAACAAAGCAAACAAAAGGGCAGATTCATTGAAATTCGAATTCATGTATTTTGAATAAGATCTCAAACTGTAAATCAGGAAGCAAGGAAGGAAGAGATGAGATGAACCGCATCGGCGGAGGAGTTATCAGCATCCATTTCGGGGCGGAGCTTGGCGTAGAGTTGGGGGATGCGGTAGACGAAGCTTGGATGAATGAGTTTTTTTCTCTTTTGGTTACGAAGGTTGAATGGGTTAACAGACAGATGAGGAAGATTTTAATTTTGTGCTTAAATCCTAACGGAGTTCAGCACGAGGGTTTAAATCCGAATTTTTTCACCACGGGAGCCATCTTCCAATTACCCTCTCATCACATGGACCATTAATCCAAGGAAGAGAAGATCTTTGAGCGTTCGAAAGTCCCTGTATTGCGAGAGTAATGCTTGCAACTAGCGGCCAAAGGAGGACTCAGCCATCTTTGAAAGCTCCAGTGACCCAATGTGGTTCAGTGTATCAACATATGTGAAGTGACTGATCTCGTAGCTTCCACGACAGAACTTGTATCCCCACTTGGCAAGCCACAAACGTCCCCAATCACTTATTTGTTAGCTTTTTTTTTTCTTTTCAAATGATAATGGCAATAGGATTCAAATATAGAAAATTAAATTAATTTACCAACATTTTAATTACTTGAGTTATAAACTCTTTACCTTATGATACAAGATATTGGAGCGAATTAAAAGTTGACTAGACACCCATTCAAGAATGGAATGATCTTGGTGAGGTGGTGCTTGGTATATGAGTGTGGCGTAAACAACTTACCCTTAAGAGGCAAGGGGTTATGGTCCCTCACATAGTTGGAGAGGATGTGAAGAAATCACCTAGACAAACGACTTGTAACTTCAAAGTGCTTTAATAATTAAATGTTCATCTGTTTTGATAAATAAATAAGATTCAGTGAATATGCTTGGACTCTCGAAACACGAGGATATATTGTTTGGCGATGAAAATTTCAATGTTTCTTGGTTAATTTTTCATTAGGTGTCATTATGACCTGGTAGATTGTTTAGATCCAATCTCTCTTTTAATAAAGATGGTATATATGTTGCTACTTTTCGTGGATTCTTTATGTTATATGTACTCTATTCTAGTGATTATTGATTGTGTATCTTGAGTTTAAATTTTTTGGATGTAAGGCACATCAGTGACTTGTAGATTGTTATGATTCTGTTTATACATGTATTCGATATGTTTAGTTAGTCGGTTAGTTAATCAATTGGTTTTGGTTGTAATTGGTTTGGGTTTGACTCATTTTGTAATATATATACATGGATTATTGGAGCAAGCATCTTCTGTGCAACCGATCATACCTATGATCATTCTGTTCGAGGAATGGTTAGCTATGGTTATTTATTGGGCATTAGGGGATGTGATGCGGGCTCTGTTGGCTTATCGAACGTTCATGGTTTTTCAAGTGGGATACACATTCAGTCAGGAAAGCTACAAGATCAGCCAATTCGCATACCGAATTTCACTGACCCACATTGCATCATTGGAGCTTCGAAAGATTGCCGAAGTTGTTGACGAGCATCATACACTGAGAGCATTACTTGTTCATATGGACATAGAAAATATGAACACACTCAAAGATCTTCCTTCTTTCTTGTTGGACATAGAAAATATGAGAGGATTAGCAAGACAATTGACAACACAAAGAGCTCGATGACAAGTGCAAATGCAAAGTTGACCAAATCCACACGTAGTAGTGAACCAATTCAAGAAGATACTAGGAAACAATGCTTATGCGATCACCTGAAATTTTTTACGGAAAGCAGCATTTGACTTGGCTCGAGCAAACATACGGTCAGTAGGGGCAACAATAGATGAGAATTGTGGGGAAGTTAATCAAACTGAGTAGACGAGAATGGTAGGGAAGTTAATCAAATTGAGTTGATGTCCGTACCATGGGAAGGGCAAGCATACAATTGTATATGCAATATGCAACGATGTAAAACTTCTCTATGACTTTTAGGTGGAGAGATTATCTGGAGCGAGAACAGAATATGTTTCACCATATAATTAATAGGCAGTATGCGGAGTAACTCAACTCCTTATAGGCAAGGTTCTAAAAAACGCTAGGCGCTAGTCGAGCGGTTGGCTGGCGCCTAGTGCCTAGGCGGTTAGGCGGGATCTAGGTGGGCATCTAGGCGGCCTAGGCGGATTTAGATAAACTTCTTGTATATCTTGTAAATAAATGCATATTAACACTGCATTGAACTTGTGTTTCATGTATCCAAATGTAAATACATCGTGTTAAGTGATATAACAAGTACAATATGGCATCACTATACACGTGTTAAATGATATAACAACTTTCTAAAGATGTGTCATATTTTGTATATCTTGTATCACTAGATCCTCCCAACCTTCAAGATGTGCATTGAACTTGTTATATTGTGGCCTCGTCAACGTATTTCATCGGTTTCATTGGACATGCATATTCATATGTAGTTGACTAATACATCATCTCTTTATTAATTAAAATACTAAATAACATACTTAAATGGACAACAACTAAAAAAAAAAGCAAAATACAAGAAGTAAAATACAAATTAACAAAAGATAATAACTAATACTTAAACCCTTGAAAATGGATAAACATATTTAACACCAGACTCTCGATTCCACCGCTACAATAACTCTTGGATATGAATATTATATTAATATTTAGAAAATAGATTTAAACTAAAGTAAAGAAAAGTTAGAAAACCAATTAATAGAAAGAAAGGAGAAAGACTTCGGACTCTTCACAGTAAGCAGCTAGAAGACGAAGCAACCCGACCTCTTCCTTATAAATGTCAAATCTCTTCTTCCAATCTCCTATTTTTGGATCAGGTTCTCCGATCTGCTAAAAGGCTCTTCGATTTATTCAATTAGTCATCCATGTGTTTGGACGCCGGCGATGTTGCCATGCAGAGACAGTGAGTTGCGACAGAGCCGAAGAGTTTCAGTTACCGCCCAGCGCCCGCCTAGGCCGCCCAAATACCTGCCTAGGCCGACCAACGACCGCCTAATTCTTTTCCTGATTTTTCTTCCGATTTTGGTTAAATCCCGGCGGCTAGCCACCGCCCAACGCTTAGGCCGATTTTTAGAACACGCTTATAAGTATTTGCATGGTTTGGTCATTCATTGGTGTAGGATTTTATCCTCACATTCTAACACGGACAAAAGTTATTTAAGTCAATAATAAAACTCTTTTATGGAGCTATTAATTATGATTTACATGTTAGAGTTCTTTTAATCTATCAACAAAAATTCCAACAAATTAATTAATAGATTAAGAGCCAATTGATTAAATTGACATTAACATTATAACTGTGGAGAAAATCACTTCCCAAACACTAAGAATAGAGAGAAGTTACATTTGAGTGGCATATGCATGAATCAAAATGCTATATATATATAATAGAGAAAAGTTACATTTGAGTGGCATATGTATGAATCAAAATGTTATATATATATATATATATATATATATATAATAGAGAGAAGTTACATTTGAGTGGCATATGCATGAATCAAAATGTTATATATATATATATATATATATATATATATAATAGAGAGAAGTTACATTTGAGTGGCATATGCATGAATCAAAATGTTACATATATATCATGATGAATTGTCTTCTGATAGCTAGAGATGTCAAGATTTGAATTGTGACATTTTGTTTAAAGAAATGACGTGATATTATCTGGGGCATTTATCATATATATAAAGGTAACTATTATAATCACTTTAAAAATCTCATTTTGTGCTTATATATTTTTTTTCTAAATATAAAAAATTTGAAGTACGAATAACAATTTCTATATATATATATATATATACGCGCGCGCACATCCAAATCCGATGGATATTTGCTTGTTTGATGATCAACGGTTGCATGTCAAAATTATCAAATGACTCTAGAACCCTTGCTTTTAGTAAACATTTTTCACCCCGTAGCAAATTATTGTAGTTAGGCTAAAAGTGTGATACACATATTAAACAGTTGTCCGGGATAATTAACAAAAACTCCATAATGATTTTATATAAGAAATCATAGTTTAACATAATTGCGAATCCCTTATATAAACAATCAAAATCAATGAAAAGTTATATAGAGATCATTTGTGTCTGTCAATCATGAGTTCAATTTATTTTAAAT